CAACATCTATAATCTGAGTCCCTTTGTTCTCTGCTGCACTTCACGCTGGTCATCAAACAGTTAACCTGTATTGGCTTTCAGAAGTCCCATTTCACTCCTGCTAGAATCAATGTTAAAATTCTGATTGCACAAGCGAGTGAGCCCATGGGCCAGATGGATATTTGGTATCAAAACATCTGAAAAGCTCTTTCTGCAATAAAGCGCTATATGAAGTATTTGCTCTAAAGACAAGCACCAATCTCTTGTCTCCATGGCATTTGTAATCAATATTATATTACAGGTTGATTAAATACCAAGATATTAGAAGGGTGAATCTCAAAGTACAGTTTTGACTTTTCTTTGTTGCTCAAAAACAACTGTAGAAATTGTTTAGAGAAATGTTGATAATACCAGAAAAAAACCCCAATTCAAAATAGCATCATAGTTACTATTTCTGAACATGCAAATTTGGCAAGGGGGAAACACTCATCATTGGATCAGTACTTGGCGTATGCTGTAGGTGGGAAGAATATTCTAACCTTTTGGGCTAAATATTTTTCCCATTTATCCTGTGCTCTGTGGAAGTAGATAGTAGAATGTGTGGAATAATTTCCACACATAGCTTCTCAGTCTAGTATCCAGCGTGTGCATAAAAGGTGGGTGCCTCTCAAAAAGCTGGTGGCTCCTGTGGGAAGCCAAATAGGAAGGTTGAAATCTGTTGTCTTCACAGAAGGGGTATATCTGATACAGGAAACTCTAAATTGGATGCATTGGACACTGTGACAAAAAATGGGCAAGCAAGAGAATGAAAGTAATGTGAAGAGGCATGGATAGCTCAGCCATAATTTGGAGCAGTAACAGGTGGCTTGGTCCCTCTTGTCACTGGATTCCTCTAATCCCTTTAAGCTTTCTGTCTTTGGCAATAGGTATTATGTTCATGTCTATCCAAACACAAGTGATGAAGTCTGAGACTGGTGTGAGAAGAAGAACGCAGAGAGAACCTGGCTCTGTACTCTGTGAAAAAGTTGGGCCATCAAAATACTCAGCTGTGGCAAAACAAAGGTGCACCTAGCTCTTTTTTTTGGTTCTGACATGGATGTCTTGGTATGTGGGGGAGAAAAGTACATGCAACGAAGGGTGAAGAGTGCACCCTCTGTGAGCCAACAATAAGCAGACTTACAGGAATGCTCTGTCAGAGATTGAGTCAGTTGGACTCCACTTTCTCTTTCTGTCCCTACACTGGCTTCCTCACTCTTTCACTTACCAGAGCACTTTTATTCAGTCCTCTTTTCAATGTCTGGCTACTAAAGTTTAGGTTTGTTCTTTGGGGCATTTTTGGTTTTATTTTATTTTATTAAAGAATGTTTAAGAGTACGTTTGTTTGTTTGTTTGTTTGTTTGTTTGTTTTAATAAGCTGGAGCTATAATTGGTAAATGGGTTAAGCTTGCTTCCTATTAAGATAACTGACATGAAATACCCAATGCATCCTGAGACAGAGAGAAATAAGTTCACCAGCTGAATTGTAGAAAAGATCAGCCTTTTTTAACAATATAGGTAGAAACAGATGTTTAGAAAAACATGTAAAAGTAATCAGGAGGGGATTTATTAATTTGTTTATTAATTAAGATACATGCATGAGCAGACAGCCAGTAAAGTTCTAAGTTAAGAAAGGCAAAGTTCCAGCAGGGGGGTACAAAGAAAGCTGTGTACAGATAACTCTTGGGTTTGGGTTTTTCTTTTTTGTTTGTTTTAATGATGGAGGAATTAGTCCAAAGCTTTTTGGAAGTTTCAGGTCAGCATATACAGTCTTCCTGATTTTGTTCCCCTGATGCTAGTAAGTTTTTCTCTTTTGCTTAATAAAGTAAGATACATTATAAGATCCTATCAGGCCATGAATATCTCAACAGCTAGTAAAAGCATACACAGGTTTGTGTACTCTCTGGTGTGCCAAGGTTGAAAAATGCATAATAAATACTAGAGTGATTCTGAAATAGTGAGTCACTGAGGACCTCTGACAGTGCTTATGTTTGCTTTCTAGTTTGTGGGGAATAAAAAAAGTGGAATCAGCTTTTCTGATTAGAGGGGCAAATATACATGGGGATCTGATGTGGAGACAGACAGGTGCTGAGAACCTGTTAGTTGGTGCAGTCAGTTTGGAGAAAATGTAGAAGGTACGTATTCACTAGATAGCTGGCTGTGCTAAAACCAGGGAAAGATGTACTAGTGCTAGTAAGAAAAAGGAAAGGTTTCAATGGCTTTGGATAAGAATATGTCCCTTTTTTTTTGGTTTGTTTTTAAATGTCTGTACCTTATGCCACAAACTTGGATTTTGTTTACAGCATTAAAAGTAACATTGAGATTAAAATTGGAATGACCAACACTGAATTCACTTGGCTGCTCATGTAAGTGATCATTCCTCCAATTTTTATACAAGTATTAAAGCATCATTTAAATGTATTGCTCCTATCTTTGGTTTCCTTGTTTGAGCTGTCCTTGAAATTTAACAAAGACTGGTTAAACTTTTTTAAACTAAGAGACTGTAAACTAAGAAGTTTTAATGGCTTGTCTAGCTAATTTGTCTCTATGATGACTTCAGTAGTGTCTTAATGAAAGATGAATATTGGGAAATTGGTGGTTCGTATCTTGCTTGTTGGGGGGAGTTATTTTATATAGATAAACCTGATAAATTAATGTCTGAGAATCAAATATGTTTTCTGGCTGAAATGCTAATCTTTAGTTGACTTTTCTTTGTGATTGAGGAGCTCTGATACAGTAAATCAAATAAGAACTATGGCAGATTCTCCTTTTGTGTAAATAAAAGTGGTAGAGTCCTTCTGCTCTGCTTCTGGCGCTCAGACCCTCAGCACGCGTGGAGGGTAGCAGAATCTGGACCACCTCTCAGCAGCAGGTGGACAACAGATTCCTGCTGCTGCTACTGTCTTTGTTTAGAAGACAAAACCTCAAGCTGATGTTTTGTGAAATCTTGTAGGGCTGCTCTAATAACAGAGCCAAGAGATGGGGTAACTGCAACCTCTCTCTACACCGCCACCTGCAAGTGTGTGTCCTTACTGAAGATTGTGGAGAGGAAATAGATACATCCTCCATGTACAATGCAGTGCTTGATTTGGTGTTCAGATAATTAGATGATTAAAAATAAAAATTTTTAATTACTTTGTATTTATAACCTTATGGTCTACTATTGAATGTCTAAAACCACTGGTTTCTTCTGGTATTCACAGAGAAGTTTTATTCTGAAGGTCCACCACAGATTACAGATGGACGTTTAGGCTAATTCCTCTCACGGGTTACAGTAGTTACTCTATTCTTTCATAAACCACATATGAGTTTCAGTGTTAAACTGGTTGCTTTTTGTGGTTTGTTCTGATGCTTTTGATGAAGTACTGCTTTTCTGTGACCCTTCCCACTCTTTTCCTTCTATTTAGGAAGAAATGTAAATATGATGGAATTTCTGGAGATACAGACAGATCTTTTATCAAGAAAGTCTTAAAATGAATAACTTTCTCTGGAGGTTGTTCTCCTTATATAGAAAGATATTGCAAATGACATTTGGAGTCTTCATAAGTGACCAAGGCCTTAAGTCTTTTTTGGACCTCATACCATTGAAAGTCAAATAACTGACCAGTGCTATTATAAATGATATGATCTGTATATGCTTCAAGGAAGGTATTCCACATGCTTTACTTTGACAAAACTCTTGCTGGACTTCCTGGGAAACCTTGGCTAGTCAAAATTTGTCTTGTGATCGTAGACTAATATCCTCCTTATAGTAAGCGTTACTAAATGATGCCATCTGAAATTATATCACTCTCTTGGGAGGCCTCACTGATCACACGTCATCCTACTGCTCCTGCAGCATGTTGCAAGCTAGACTTAAAAATGGCTGAGTCAGTCTATCGCTGTGTCTTAAAGTGATTGCAGCATCTTTCTGACAGCCTATCTTTATGATAGCATTGTAAACAGAAAACACAGATTGAGAGAACTAGGAAAAAAAAAAAAACAAGTTAGAAAAAACAATTTATTAAGTAGTATCATATAAATAACTTGTTACAAAAATCAATTTGCAAAAAGGCAAATTCACTCTGTCTGTGATAAATTGTTGTTCAAATTGGTTTCTCATTAAATCCTTTAAAGTTCATTTCCCCGTGCCCCCCACCCCCAAAAAAGAAGCCAGTACAGTGAACAGGAAATATAAGGGAGAGAGTGCACACTTGCCATCTGACCATAACAAATTTCCCATCCACGCTGCAGAAGAGATGATCATTCCAGCATGGGTCCCTTTGCAACACAGGGAAGCTTCTAGGTGTAAATCTCCTGGGTGACAAAAATCTTACTGCCCACAAATGTCCCTCTAGGCCAAGCAGTGACCAGATCCACTCAATGCTGAGGCATCCTTGGAACAACTAGGGGATGACATCACAAGAGACTGTGTGGCTGGAGCATGCCAGCAAGTAAATCTTCCCAGGTGGTGGCATCAGTTTCAATTTATGCTTGGAAGTATTTTTAATTAAAAAAAATCAATACCGAAAAGCATTTATTTTAAGGGTTTAAAAATCACAAATTGCAATAGGAGTTTGCCAGATTGATTTTGCTCAGTAACACAGTTAAGATGCACATAGCATTTATTATAAGGCCTTTCTTTTAAGTTTAATTTTTTCAAAGCAAAGAGAGTAATCACAGAATTAAAACAGTACAGTGATTCTGGAGAGTTATTTATCTAGAACAATTTTTTTTGAAGTGTTGTTTCTTTGTTGTGTTCACCTGAATGCTTAATAATTCTATACATTTGTTTCTTTAATAAACACTAAAGTAATAGATCATAGAAAACTAAAAGCTTATAGAAAGTGTCTTCAGGTATATTTACATAAATAGTGCAGTCTCACAGGAAAGATCAAAAGCTCATGGGAATGGAAAGGATTTCTCTATATGCTGGATTTATGCCTTATTTGTCAAATCAACTTTGTGGAAAGACAAATTTGAAGTTAGCAGCTTTCTTTTTTTTTTTTTTAAGGAAAGCAAAAGATACATGCAGAAAAAAAAAAAAAAAAAAAAAAAATAAAAACTCCTTTGAAATCCAGTAACTCTAAGCACAATATGACAGCTTTGTGGCTTTTAAGTGCCATGGGCCTGCCTTGCATATCATTGATTACCTCCCTCCATGCCCTCATGCAATTCACTTCGTGTTCTTCCTGAAACTCCCAGTTCTGTGACTCTTGTACTCCCTGTAACCTCAGCCATGGCTTTTGGATACTTACTGATGAATTTTATGAACTGTCTGGGAAAGCATTTAGTGTATGACAAATGCAGGTCTGGACTGAAAAGTGTAATATTGTGAAATGATGGGCAGGATCAAGATTGATTCAGCTGTGCCTGAATTAGTTTTACTGAGAGGAGAGACTGGCATTAAAACACTGCATTGGCTGCTGTGGTTTTTTCCCTCCTTCTGGAGCAATGCATGAGGCTGTAGACATTAAATATGCTTCTGTTCCTCTTCTTTCTTAAGTACAGGAACAATCTCTAAGGAAACAAGCCTTTCTGAAGACTAAAGTGAAAATAAGAAATGCTGTGGCTTTGACATTTATTGGAAGAGGCTGCTGTTTCACAGGTCTAAAGGGGTTGGAAAAACCCTTGCCTTTCGTAACTTATGACGTAGTTTATAATTATTGGAAGTAGTGTAATGAGTGTTAATTTGTCAGCTCTCATTTGACAAGGGAGTTCAGACTGCAGTGTTGATTGAAACACAAATGGGCAGGGGATGGCAGCATCCAGCTGGGACAGTGATCTTCTGAAAAACATCAATACTATTTATAGACAAATGAAACATGGAGAGATTTAAAACAGATGGTGGCAAGAAGAGCTAACATGGTGGTGTTCACAGGGAGTTACCTGCTCAGAATTACTGTCCAGATTTCTCTGTGCAGAAGGCCATCAAGATAGATCTGCTGCAGAAATTTAACACATTTTAATAATAATCTTAACAAAGGGACTTTCTTTCCCAGGGATCTGCACGGAAGTATCCTGCATTTAATTTGCTGGGTCTGAAAAAGATGGTGTCTTTCTCCCTATCCATGCAAATCTCCCTCTGGCTGCTGTAGGAAACCTCGAAGGGTTAGAAGTGACTGTGCACTGTAGGCCCTGCTCAACGTGGGTAAGTTTGGTTTTGAAACATGGCCGGCTTCCAATGTTCATTATTTCCCTTCATTTTATTCATACCATACATGTGTAGACACACATTCCCAAAGTCATTTCTCCCTGCTCTATTTCTTTATGACCATTCTGCTTTTTATGGTACTACAAAAATTCACTTAGTTGGGTTTTGTAAGATTTTTCTTGTTTGTTTTGTTACAGAAAAATGGAAATGTTGTGCCTTGTAATGTAGCCTGCTACTTCCAAAACTGGATCACTTGAAGCCTGCCTTTCCCATTCACATTTAACAGAATGAAGTAAGACCTGACAACTAACAAAATAAAAATTCAGAAAAATATATCTTAGGATAAATTTAGAAAATACTGGTGTTGGTACAGGTGGAGAGTTTTTCTTCTACTCAGAATCTTTTCAGGGAATTTTTTTACCAGCAATAACTGAAAAACACAGACAACTTGTTTTTCTCACTGTTAGGTGCATCTTCATCCACAGCAGGTTTGGGAACACATCCCAGTCCTGTGATACTGTCAGTAGAGACCTGTGGAAACCCGCAAATCCCCTCGTCCAGAGCATGCTGCGAGTTTTTGCCTCAGTTCTCTGCCAAGGGCTTGTCTACAGAGAGATGTCCTGGCAAAACTGCCTTGGAGGCATGTGTTGCTGTGTCTCCCCTTACTGGTGCTGCTGTGGGATAGCATCAGTTTTAACCTGAAATAATCATTCTTCTGGAGTAAAAAAAATATTTTTCTTGAATAAAGTGGCTGTTTTGGGAGCCGGGATGAAATAGCTATACTAGAAACCTTATTCCATTTCAAGTGTAGAGATGTCATTGTTCTGCAGTGGCAATGCTGGAAAAGTCTCCCATATACAAGCCCCTGTTTCATCTTAACTCTACTGAACTCCCTGGTATCTTTTAATAGATCCCATGTTGTTATATCAGATGCTTTTCCAAATTAAAAGCCAACTGCATTGTTCATCTCTCTACCTGGCTTAGCTAAACTTCCTAATAATATTTCTTCTTCTGAAATAGGTGTGGTTATAAGAAAAGCAGGCTTAAAACAGCCTTGAAACCCACTTCATAGCCCATAGTCTAACACTTGTTTATCTATAAATGACAATTCTAGCACTGTGTGAAAGCATTGTTAAATACTTATTCCTATCACCTAGCACGCTGGCATGCAACAAAGTGCAAAGAAATACTACTGCAAAATTTTGTATTCACTTCAATATGGCACTTTCAATATTTAATATGCAGTACTGATTTTATAAATTGCACTTTGTGGTACTGCCAAGCAAGAAGAAAAGACAGAATTGAACTCTTCTTGCTGTGTGAGAGATGCTAACTCTGTCTAATTTGCAGGAAAAAATAGACCTTAAAACCTAGATGCATAAATAATAATTTCGATGCGAGTTTGCTTTGAATTTTCTCAGAAGAATCCATTTCCTATTCAGGCACCATATTTGTGGTGAAATAACATAATTTTATATATAATATATTTACACAACAGGCACGAGTAGCCACTCTCTATTATTTACTGTGTCACTCAATGGACAAGATAAAACCAGCTTTCAATTAAAAGAAGGAAAAAAAAAAAACCAACCCAAACCAAAAACCCCTTGCGCATGGACTCCTACTGACAATCACTAAATCAGACAAAATCACTGTACAACCATAGAAAAGTAGTTACAAGGAGATCAGTGATCCTCCTGCCTTGTTATTCCACCCCCAAGAGTGATTAATGCCAGCTGCCCTCTGCAGGGCAGCCCAGCCCTTTCAGGGTGCAAGGTCTGTCTTCAGCCAAGAGACAGTGGCTCCCCCTTCCCTGTGAGCTGGGGGTGGCTCGCAGGGCCAAATATCTGTGTGGTTTCGCAGCCACCTCTGCCATCCCCTCCACACACAAACCAGTTTTCTCAGGGCCTGAGGAGGGAAAGAGACTGCTCACTGGCTCTCTTTGGGCATCCAGCTGGACTCTCGAGGCAAGCCCAGGCAGTGAAGGGTGAGACACAGGAGTGTGTTAGGGAGCCATTCGGAAGAGCCCCCTGAGGGGTACACTGTCTCCGCTGCCTGTATGAGGAGAGCAGCCTGAAGTGAGGGGCCCGTGGCAGGTGGTGCTGAGCACCTGCTGCTCCTCCATGTATCCGAAATCCAGATGGTCCCTCCAGTCTGCCAGAGCCAGGTTTCAGACAGATTGCCTCCTGAATGCTCTGGTTTCAAGGAAGCCACAAAGGGCTAGATTTTCAAAAGCTTTTATCATCTTGAATTAATAAGGGGCCATCAGGAGGACATAATAAAGGCCTAGTCGTGCCATTGCTGTTGTGACAGGTGTGACAGGCTCAGCCTCCCTGAGCAATGGAGTTGGGCACCTCACCCTGCTGGACTGAAGCACCGTGAGAGGCCTCCATCGGGGACACCAGTGGTTTAGGGCCCTTTGAAACTCTGGGCTCCTCCACTCTGAAAACCCATTTAGTCTATCATGCTGGGCATCTGCAAGCCACTAGCTGCCTTGCCCTAGACCTCTAAAAGTGCAGTGCTCCCCACTGCGAAGAAGTCTTTCCCAAACCCAGTTGAGCACCGCAGCGTGGCTGGCTCATCCTCCACTGTCAGCCGGTTTGCAAAACCTGAAATTATGGCGTCATGCTTGTAAAAGTCCAATACTCGGAAATCTTACTGCTTTCTTTATTTAACTCTCTATGAGTAATGAATTCCAGGGATTAATTTTTAATCCCTTTTAATTTTCTGTTTATTAACTTTTTTCCCTTCTCTATTTTTAGAGTAAATTGGAGTTGCTGTTTAGTTTTCAAACTGATTCACACCACAACAAGGTAGGGAAATAGATCCATGTCTGTAATTCTGGTATTAAATACTGTCTTGAAATAAATGAGTTTAGTTATGTCTGAGGTATATTAAAAAATTTAATTTTTTTAAAAAATCCTTCTTGCCTTGGCACAGTGCCATTGGGCTGTGTCCCTACTTTGGGACACAGGGCAGCTTTTCGCCCCTGGAATTGGACATGTCCCGTGGCAGCCCATTAGGGTTTTCTGCAGATAGCCTCTCCTAGATGGCTGAATTTGAAGAGCAGCAACTGCACGCATTTGACAAACCAACAGAAATACTGAGTGGTGCACAAGCTGTAAAGAAAATTGTTTTGGCCTGAGACTATGGCATCTTCCCCTACCCCACCCCTGGACAAAAATTACTTAGCTTGGCAAAGCAGATAAACACAGAGAGACTTGTGATTAAATTTTTACCTTTTGGTGAAGTCTTTTAACAGCTCTGGCTGAGTAGTTTATTTTAAAAATGAGTTATAGTTATAAACCCTACTTTTTCAGGCCACTGGAATGACAATTGATTCTAACTTACTTGTGTATTCAGGGCTTGAATCGGGGGTGGGGTGGGGGGTGGGTGTGGGTAAGAAAACCACTCAAAAGCATAAGAAAATACTTCCTCTGGCTGAATGCCACTGTTTTCCATCTCTAAAGCATTTTCCAAATGACTTATATAATTCTTGCAACATCCTGATGAGGTAGGCATTATTTCCCCACTTTACAGATAGCAAAACTGGGCAGAGAGTCAGGAAGCTACCCTGGGCATCCAGGCAGGGAAAGTCAGGACCAAAAAAGCACTCTTTCCTCCTTTACAGTTGCTCTTTTTGCCCCATCGGGTGGTAGTTACCTTGAGGCTATTACTCCCCTCCTGCACATGAGAACAGTCAGAATTAGATGGATATGGAAAGCCTGACTCCCACCTCCCCAGCGCAGTGGCCATCACTGAAATGATGTGCAGGAGGGGGCTGACCAGAGAAGTATGAAGAAAAGCACAGTTATAATCTGCTCCTTCCTCCAAATTGTGAGCTAATCTGGAGTTGGATTAGATGACTTTCCCTGTATCACAAGGCAAATCTGGGTTAGAACTGGGAAACCACCTAAGAACTAGATATTGGGCTACCGACTGCACACACATGCACGCACACACATCTCTCCAGCAATGCTAGGTCAGAAAAATATATACATTGCAGTCAATGAACTATATATATGCGTGTGTTAGTATGATTCAGTGCATTGGGGGCAATGGCAAGATCTAGAAAAACACTTAGATTTGAATGACCATTAGGCCTTTCTACCCTTTTTACGATTAAAATGCATGTTTGATGTTTTTTCTCAGCTTACTCTACTTGTATAATAAACCTTCATTTCATCACCACTACTTTTGACTATAATACATAGGGTAAACTAGGGTACCTCATTACATTGGGATGTGCAATACACAATCGACAGAGCAGTTGTCTGAGCTGAATAGTCTGAATACAAGTAAAAAGAGCAAGTGAGCTTGAACAATAATATACTCCAATTTACAATATAAGCAGAACAAGTGAAAATATTGCTCCCCTTCTGATCCTTTTTTTCCCCTCCACTACTGTAAGATTGGCTTGGTAAACTGGATGCAGTAAAAAATAAGAATTTTGCCTCTTGGAAGCTCATAAAATGATACTAGAAAAAAATTTCTGACAGCTGATCCACACAGACTGCAGTCATTAGACAATTTGAACGGGTAGAATAGACAACCCTTTCACACATCTGTGGAGAAATAGAAAGAAATAGCCACTTCACATATTTCAATGCTGTTTCTGAAAATGAGGAAGGGAAAAAAAAAAAAAAGGCAACATATTAAGAGTCTTTGTCACTGTCCATTGCACCATACATATCTGCCAGCTTTTTAAACCGAGGCCCCCAGTCACTGAGGTAATCGTAGTCCTGATCTCCATCTGTAGTCACCGACTCCAAGGAGCTGAGAGACTCGGCCACAGAACCATTACCTTCATATGCGTAGGTTGCTAACGAGTCATATGGGGGTGCCGTTGGATCTGTATCATTTTCCTTTAACCTTTGGTTAATGAAATCTCTGACATCCGTGTTATCTCGTGCTGTTGCAGTCCGCCGTGGCATAAAAAGTGTTTCCGGCACAATGTCTCTGCGCAATTTGTTATCGTCTATGGCTTCGGGATTCCTCAGTGTGCCGATATCAAATGCCTGGGTGTCTTCCTCTCCACCACCTTCATCATTATAACTGACAATGTTGTCTCTGATGTCTTCTTTGGAAATAATCAAAGGCTCTTTTTTCCGCTGCCGTCTGAGTGCTGCAAACAGCACCACTGTAACTAGCAACAAAAATAACAGGGGGAGAGAAAGGGAAAGGTTAATCCCCAACTCCATTAAAACCCAGAAGAAATGCTGTGCCTCTACTCGAAGTCGAAGTTTTAAAAGATGATTTGCAGAACTGCAAATGTGCATGTCAGGTTTTCAGACTGTGCTTGCTCTGCCTTTGAGTACCTTGGGAGATGAAATGGCATGGATATGCACTAGAAGAAAGGAGATGTCAAGCTTGTAAGAAGCCAAGTGGAGTGTCTTTTTGCCAGTAGGCATATTTTTATCCAGAGTCATATAGCAATTTTGTTGCCTTGAGAGCAGAACTAGTTTCATGAGAGTTGGGAAGGAAAAAATACTTTCACAAAAAAAAGTAACATCAGATGATATTTACTTTGAACCCCTGGGACAAGATGCAACTTGTGCTATAGACAAGACTGGTATCTACTGGGCTATGATAAAAGATTAGCAAAGCTGCATTTCAAGATAAGTAAAACTATCCTCCTCTGGAAGAAAGCTTGGAATATGGAGTGGATTTTCAGCTAGCACAAAATCTAAGTTTTATTAACTTCTTTGGCATGTTTTTACAATGTACATCACCTTAAAAAAAACACATGGCTTAAATCTTACACTGATGAGATATGGTAATGATATTTTTTAATCTGCCTAAGGTATGAGATTTCTTAAACAGATATTTTATGCCTTTCATTCCAAAGTGTGTGTGTATATACATGTATTTTTCATTTATTTGGAGGGCAGGAACTATTTTCAAGGCCCTTATTCAAATTTAAATATTTTTACTCAATGATGATCCCTGGTACTATTGGAGAAGTGAGCACAGAGGGTGGGAGGGGATATGTTCAACAATTTATTTCCTTTAAAAGCTAATTTCAGATTTCTTAGCTGGATTCTAATTTAAGATGGTAAATGGCTGAATATTTACAAATGAACAACATCAAGGAGCAGGGATGTATTACTACTATGACTGTTGCTTTGGTAGGTTGAGGTCCACAGTGCCCAGTATTTCAGCTCTGCTGTGCAAACTCCAAGAAAAGACATCTTGCTGTCTTTATAGATCTTTCATAGCAAAGCAAAGCAAATCAGAAAATGCCTAAACTTATTGGTATGAGACGATAAGGTGGATCAAAATTATCTTTCATGTCATCTGTGTTTCTAAAATGGTGTGTGAGTCAAAGCACAGTAACTGTTCAACACTTTTCTGTCAGTCCCTTCCTCATTTGTAACACTATTAAGGGCAATGCCAAGGACTAAGGGCATCCCCCAAACAAAATTTTAGTTTCTTAGCTTCCTTCAACAGACAACAAGATAATTATTTATTTTTAAATGAAGAACAACCCTGCAGGATTGCTCAAAACAAGATGGTATCTGTATATGTGCTCAAGCACATTGTGGAAGAATCTTGTACTCTTTCTCTCTGTTGACTATGGAGGAATCCCAAGAAGACAGGATAAAGTAAAAATGCTCTAACTTCTGCTGTGTCTTTACCATCGGTATAGTGTGAGTAAGAGAGAACACCTGTTAATATAGGCTGAGGAAATAAGTGAGATGGTGAAACTGAAGGAAGTAGCAGAGCTGGTTCAGATGGTGAGAGCTAGTGATGAGGATTTACATATGGTGCAATGTAAGGGTCCTAATCTGAGTAATGCTTCTTTGTGCTGCTGTGCAAAAATACAGTAAGAGAGAATTCTTTTCCTTAAGAACATAAAGGTGTGACACTACGTGGGAAGACTGGGGAAAGGTCTGTGTGAGAGATATCTGGAGAAATTTTGGAGAACTTGAAAAGCACAGAGTGGATTTCGAATAGGCTTCTGGAATAGCGACCAGTAGAACTGCCTGAGAATGAGGGTTACTGAAGTATCTCATTCACAAAAAAGGTGTTACACAGAATATTCAAGGATAAGACTTTGATAATACATGTCTGATACTTGGACTTTCTTATTCTGTACTGAATTTGTAGGCAAAAAAAAAAAAAACACATTAGAAGTTATATGTTAGAGTACATCACCTTTATTTGCATGTCAGTGTTTAGCAGTACCTGAGGCCTCCTGATAAGCCTCTAGACTTACTCAAAGTGCAAATAAACCTAGCAATTTATAGTCACTTTTGTTGCTGCTGAACTTTAAGCTGTGGTTCAGGTCTGCCCAGAGTATTGTTTTTCACTCAGTAGTGGTTGCACATGAAAACCCTGCAACCAGCCTGAAAATAGAAAATTATATAGCTGAGTTAATTGAAAATCTGCTTATGGTGCATGGTGGTGTGAGCAGTAATTGACATAAAGTGCTGCTTAGCACACAGAATCAATTATTTTCGATTGACATAAAACAGGAAATCATTTAATGTCAGATTGATATTAATGAGCACAGTTGTACTAACGAGTGCAAGACTATCTGCAGCATTAGATTTCTTTTTCTGGTAAGAAACTTGATCCAAAGTGAGCTCAGCCCTTAGAGGCAATGATACCATGTTTTGAAAAATTAATTTAATGGCAAATTAAGGGTAAGATTGTTATTGTGGGAATCTTTTCTGAAAACGGGATTGTGCTTATTTGGGCAAGCCATGGCGATATTGTTAAAGTCTGAGAATCACAACATGGTCTTTGACTCATCACTGGCAAGGGAAATTTTGTTGGTAGTAAAGAGCAGGATGATTCTGCAGTGGTGATAAGCATGTCCAAGGAAGATACGAGTATGGTAGAGAGAAGTGGAATCACTAAGGAAACATTTTCTCCCCTGCTTGACCCTACTGCTAGAAAATTGGTCTGACTCCCTTCTTTCCTGGACAGATACTAAACGTGACTAATAACGTCTACCTGAGAACTGTCTTTGTTGTACTATACAGTTCTTCCCAGATGAATAGACTGTGGCTAATGGCCAAGGGACCAATCATCTCTGTTTGCTGTACAAGAAAGGTGGAACCTGAGTGAGAGGAATGTGAGAGATGTTGCAAACTATCTTTATTTTTAATCAAAAATAAATGTTGACCACCTGAAGGTGGTGCAGTCAGAGATCTGTATGCCCTCCACACTCAGGATCCAACCTCTTCATGTTCACAGGTGCCTGAAAGGGAGGATCTTGCAGCTTTTGAGAGAGTGCTTTAGTAGCCGGCCTCCCCCCCACCCCAATTTCAGCATCCTTTTCCAGCAGAAAAGAAGCACTGAGACTTGTTTCTCCTCAATTTAGACATGGGAAGTTAATTGTTTAAAATTAAATTATCTGGTCTCCCTCTATTGTCAACAGAAAGAGATGGACAACTGAAGAGATGGATTAGTCTGGTCCACCTCAGATATCAGTAAGGGGATAGGATAAATGTCTGTCTACAGGTGCCCATCTTTTTGCATTGACCAAAGGGTAGAGCCCAGCTGTCTCCTCTTGCTTGGACGTTTTTAACTTTTATATACCTAAGATTAGATAGGATGTCTTCTATACACAATATCTGTAGTAGCTCTCAGAAGAGGAAATAAAGTAACATAGATGCAGGATAAGACAAGGACATCTTTGCTTTGCTCTTGTTCTAGCCTTGGTATAATCACTTGTAGCAATACAAAATAACCATGAAAGGAACAAAATGCCTCTGAGCTACTTACCGAGTAGTATAATGATACAGAGAAGAATGGCAATAAGAGCCCCAGTGCTAAGACCAGTAGGATGAATCAAGGCTTCTGCATTACAGGACAGCATCTTTCCTCGATGGTCACAAGCACATACTCGAATAGTCACTGTTTCAGTGCTGCTCTGGATGGGGTAGTCATTGTCTGATATTACCACTGGCAAGAAGTACGTACTCATTTCATGCCGGTTATATCTGGTTTTTCGGGTAAAAATCCCTGCTGTGTTGTCTGGAAACACAAAACACGCATTAAACCTTCATCTGAAGACTGAAAGCAAAGATGAGATAATAAAAGACTTCCTAGAAATTCACCTCTGTTGTCCTGTAGTGTAAAGTTGGAGCTGCTGGCTGCCTCAGGAGCTAAGGAGAATGAAAACTGATGTCCACTGTAAGAGTCATCTTTATCAACAGCACTTAATGTTTGTATCAGCTGAAACAATAAGAAGAAAATTATCTTCAAAGTGCAGTGGATCTTACATTTATTTATGTACTCTAGGACTGTAAAGCAATCTTACTTATTCATTTTATCTTCTGCTTTAAGGCAGCTGATGCTGCCATGGCTAGCTTAAGAAAAGAGATCTGTGTGCTGCTGATGCTGTTTAGGATCACCATACTATTGTATCCCATACCATCGGCCAGTAACATAATGAATTTGAAAGTTGGAGGAAAATCACGTTGAATTCAAAAGCAGACTTGGGTTGATGCCACTCCAGATGGGTAGGAAACCTTTGCATGTGAGAGATGAGAGGTGAGGCAGTCCAAGCTGACTCTGTATTTATCTACCCAAATCTCATGTCACAGGAATTATTTGGCTGAATCTTCCAAATTATCTGCTACTTTGAACCATTTAATATTAGGATTGGTAGAGTGAGAGCTATCTGGCAGGAAATAGTTATATCACAGACAGGACCTGTAACAGTTACAGACCTGAAACTGTTTTTGAAGGAGCCAGTGGAGATGCCTGAATAAAGCAGAGAATCACATAATGAAAATGAATCAGGGATAACAAGGTGCAGTACAGAAAACAACAGTCTAAACCATACTGTCACATTAGCTGCAAGAATACTAAGTGTAATCAGATACTGTGCAGCCACTGTTTAGTTTAATTTTGCAAAACTGACAGTTTGATGCAATGCAAAGTATACCACTTGATGAGGTGATGCAAGAGTAGTAGCAAAACTCAATTAATTTGGAATGTTTTCTTAGAACAAGCAGACAACACACCTGTTCTGCCTTTGCATTTTCACAGACGAAGGTCTCATAAAACATGGCAAACTCTGGAGCATTGTCATTTACATCCAAAACCTTAATGAACACTGGGACACGGCTGCTTTGTTTTGGGTTGTCTGAAATGATAAGACCAGAAAGAATAGAGATTTTATTTAGCCCAGCTACTGACTCAGTGCAGAAAAGGACAGATTTAGGGGCTCATTGCCTTAATCCTTCTCACTCACAACACTCCACTGATATTCTTTTGATTTCTGGGGAACGCATTATGGGTTGAATTCCACAAAATTCTGCTGTGTTACCATTGCTCTGATTCTGTGTAAACTATACAGTTAAGACTCAGTAGGAGTCCAGGATTTACAAATTCATTTGAACACTCCAAGTATGATTATTAATGTGTGAGATATATATATAGATGTATAGATATATATATATAAATATAATACTGGACTTAAATGAAATCTATTTATTAGCCTAACTGATACAGTTTGGTGGCAACAAAGTTTCTAGAACATATTCCCTTCCTTAATTCTGAAACAGGAAGACTGAAGAGTCATGAAGATGGGACTGAGTGTTTATTTCCTCTACACCTGTTATACATAACATTCTGTCCCCAAGGTACCTTAATGATCATGTAGTTCCAACCTCCTGCAGGGACACCTTCCACTAGCCCAGGTTGCCCAAAGCCCCGTCCAACCTGGCCTTGAACACTGCCAGGGAGGAGGCAGCCACAGCCTCTCCGGGCAACCTGTTCCAGTGCCTCACCATCCTAACAGTAAAGAATGTTTTCCTTACATCTAATCTAAATGGACCATTTTCCCTAGTCTTCTTTTTATCACAGACATACCTAGAGAAGCCTTCCTTTTTGCCCTTGATGTCCCTGACCAGAGGGACATTTCATGACACAGTTCCTTAAACTACCGTGATTACCATTACGTTATATAAATAGTAACTGTGGCTGTGATCACAGATATTTCCTAACGTGTTGTGAATTGATTTGGCTGATATTCTACAGTTAACACTAAAATTTATCAGCTGAAGAACATAAAAACTATATAGAATCTGCAGATCCCCATATGTAAACATGTTTTTTTCCCTATAAGGACTATATAGTCCCAAAAGATTGAATTTGACAAGATTACTCCTGAGTATAAAATACTGATGCAAATTGTTATCTTTCTAGATAAAAATTAAAACATTTTGAAATGTACCACATTGTTACCACACTGTGTAGACCATTCTTTTTCCTGTTGGACTATTGGTCCTGTTGGACCATTCCTTTTCCTGTTGGGGTGAGACAGGCTTTAGTCAAGAAGATACAGAAAATTAGGAAGAAAGGCAACAAGCAGCAACCTTGCCTAGGGGCAAGGTGAAATAGGCAAGATTCCAAGGCAAAAACTCATGACTCCTAAAAGGTACACGATCTGCTGTCAGACCAATTTGTCATTATCAATCAAAACGAAATCAATAGACAATGCCAGGACTTTATCTGTGTCCATTGTGCTCCGTATCACACAAAAAATGATCTAGGCTCAGGCCACCCAGACACACCCACCTCAGTGCCTGGGTGTATGTGGGTGTGGGAATATGAGAAAGTGAAATCTATATGGGAACGATTGTGAATGAAATTAGTTTCATTTAAAATAAATACCTCCCCCTCCCATTCATGAGGGCTTACAATGAGTTTTGCTACATTAACTTCCTACGCATGGTAATATAGTTTATTAATGCCTTTTAACCTATGAGTCAAGAAAAAAAAAAAATTGAGCAATAAAATATAGCAGATCTAAGACTGTATACTTCTCCAAGCATTCATTATAGTAGCTTGTTGAAATAGGCTTTACTAGAAGTCCTATTACTGTGTTTATCATACTTTTATAAATTTGAAATGCCTTCTCCAAATTGGCACTGTGTATTTGTATTACAGAGCTCAGTCATCTGCACAAAATACTGTGTTTTAAAGCTCCACAGTCCCACTGAAGTTAATATCATTCCAGTAGGCACAAACCACTTTCTAATATGAACTACTGGGCTAAATTCATTCAATGTATAAAGTAACAGTTTATGTGTAATATAGACTAGTCTGAATTCTATGCTAAAATACATCAATACAAACGTTGAGTTTTTATAATAGACAGAAATCAAAGGTACTCATTTGAAGTCACAGGACTATTGGCAAGACTATTTTATAAGGGCATACCTTCCTAACAAATACATTCAAATATATTGGCAAATATGTTTCTTCTCCTCTCACAATTACAATTGTTTTCTTCCCTGCTTTTTGAACCATGAACTACATATTTTCATTTTACTTCTAGGTGTTTAAGATTCTCACAATTTAAAATGATAGTGTAATAAATAGAAGCTTCATAAAAACGCCATGGTCTATAGACATGGGCCCTTTTTTCTGATTTAATGGAAATTAAATTGAAATCTCTGTATACATCTTTAAGTATTTTTTTGTCATCTTTCAAATTATTTTTGAAAATTAATCGATGTAGGCTAATTATTTTGCATTATCCTTTAATTACTGTAGGGCTCCTTCTCCAAAAAAAAAAAGCTCCCCAGACTCAACAAACTGCTTAAATCTATTCATCTCTATAGTGGTATGTTTTTTGTTGAGCCAGCAACCAAAATGTTAAAGGTGTATTTTTTCTGTATACAGTCTTAAAGTCCTGCCAATGTTTGATTTACCCTTAAGTGTTAAGTAAAGTATATTTAAAAATACTCTAGGTATTCTCTTCAGTAAATCAGCTGTAAATCTGCAGCTGTGAATCAGTAGCCCTGTGTTCTGAATTTTACTGCCAGTTTGCCTTCTGACTATGGCAGATGTACTGACCCAGTATTTCACCAACTATTTGTTTGCAACATTCACAGCATGACTCTCTGGGCTGCTGAGCAATTGCAGCTCATACTGGTGAAAAAGAAGAACATTAAAAAATGCCGCTATCTACGTTTACTGACAATTCTAGACAATTAAAGGCAAAACAACGTCCATTTTTTTTTCTACTGTAAAATGAAATCAAGAAGAGTCATCACTGAAAGGTGTTTCCCATTATGACTTTTTTTTTTTTTTTACCTTTTTTATATCAAAGTGAGCACCCATCCATCTGAATGCACATCCTGTGTATAATTTCACTGGATATTTCTTTTAGATTACTTGGGGAGTAATATACCCAAAGTTTGATGTGATGGGATGTCACTGAGAGAAATCAGTGATTAGCTGGATTAGTGGAATGGGACTTTAGCTAGCCTTGGTAGAAGTTACTTGTTTTAGCTAGGAACATTAAACAGTGGTGCTTTCCAGTCTAGTCTCTGGAGGCTAGAATTAGTGATGTAGCCTGGATCAAACCAAGGCTTGTTTAAATGGTAGTTGCATTTCAACCAAGAAAATTGCCTTTTGAAGGCATCTACACCAGTTATGCCAAATTTAGTCTAGGCTTAGTGAAGCACCACCTGGGAAGTACCTTGTTGCAACCTGGAAGGATTCAGACTGAAGAGGAATGGTAATTAAGACAGAAGCCTGTGTCAGACACAAAAGGTTTAGTTGAGAGGGTTTGGCCCAGTAGAAGATCTGTCCTTAGGGAAGGAGCCAAGGAACTAAACAAGTATCTCATATAGATGTTAGGTTGGTTTTCAGACAGTATACAATTTTCTATACTGTATATTATTTCAACTTCAACATCAATGCAAATGTGCTTCCTAAATGTTTTTGCTATGCTTTCCTTTTTAGGTGTTTACTTTTCCCCTCCTCCTCTACCCAGAAGCTCGTTCTGTAATGTACAGCTCTTGACCCTAGATCACTCTGTCAAAGACTTATGAGAAACACAAACACCTAACAGGTAGCCAGACATCAGTGTTTGATATACTGAGACCACAAACCTAGCATTAAAAGGTGCAAACTTTCAAGAGAGGCATAAAACTATCAAGAAACATCATTCCTGTAGGCTCTAGCCCACATCTTACATAATCCCATCTGCTTGCCTCAATAGCATTGTTTTGCATCAGTTTTCAGTTTTTAAAAGACCTGCATAATAAACTAAGCTAGAGTCAAGTGCTCCTTAGTTACACTCTTCTCACTGTTCATTAGCTGATTGAGCCATATACACATACACACAACATAAGAAAGTAGAGGTTATATTGTCTCAGAATATGTTTAAAAAACAAAAAAGCTATTTTCCCTCTGAGTTGCACAAAGACTTTGTGATGGTCATAGAACTGGTGGTTTATATTAGATCTGTCTACCATTCCACCATGCTTCACAATCGATAGGCTTTCTGACTTCAAAAGCAAATAGAATCACATTCCCTAACATTTGAGCATGTTATGTGCTTCTAGTTAATGTATTAAAATAAAGAGGATTGTTTATTAAGGCCACCTAGCATACACATCCTTATCTAGATCCCTGGTATTTCAGCTCCTAAAATCAACATGACTAGTATTATCACAAGATGAGCAAGCCTAAATGAAGTGACAGACTGCTTTGTAACTATGGCTTGTAATTTTAAAGGATGCAAAATAAGTTAAAAATGGAAATCCTTAAAACCGTTTAAGATCTGGGCACCTAGCTCAGCCCAGCCACCTTAGTCTTACTTGAAAGCATTCAGCCCATGCTATACTCAGTCTGAATCAGACTGAATTCAGTCATGGAATGCAGTTTGACTTTAAAACTATCTTGCTTGCTGCATGCCAATTTCAGAATTCAACAATCATGTTCAAAATTAAAAATTACTATTACTGATTAGCAAACAAAGAATTGTTACCTTTCCTCCCTGCTTCGCTAAGTTACCACTTATGAACTGTGTCTCTAGTAAACAAAAAACTGCAGACCACCTCTTGCAGAGTTTCTGCTTCTTCATTAATATTGAGTGGACTATCCACATAACCTGACATCTGTCCAGCTGTGCTTTCCATATGCTCAGCTAGAAGGCTAAATTCATTACATCAGGGACAGCAGTGGTATTTAGATTTGACTTACTGATCTCTGCTGCTATTACTGTAATGTTGTGCCATAGCAGTGTTTCCCGGTCAAGGGGTTTTGAAGTAAATATCGAACCATTTCCTGAATTGATGTTGAATACTCTGTCCATATCAGTGTGTCGATCTACAGAGTACCTGCAAATACAGAGACAAGGGTTAGGAGAATGCTTTCCTTTTAATTTCTATGTTCTTAAACCATTTTCTAAGACTAAACATCAAACAGCTAGTAAATGGGGTTGCCTTTTGTTTTCAGCACAGACTTCAGAGTCTTTATATATTCACACAAAGAGCTAGTACTGAGCTACTGGATAATGAAACATTGGAGGTTTGATTTAGAAGGTGGAGCATTGTCACTGAATAAATGAATTACTGCAGAATTTACATACCTCTGAGAATCATCAAAGCTTTGTTTTTAGTGAGAAATGTGAAGTCTGTGTCCTGGAAGATATGAAGTTTATTTTAAGGCTGAGTTGGCTTTGCCATTATAAACCCTCTTTTTATGGTTTGATATCTCAACTGTTCCAAATAATTTCTGATATAAAATTTGACAGCTGGGGTGCATTTCTGCCTTTCACTTCCCAGCATTTAAAAAGACTGCCCCCCAAAACCAAGTCAGCACGGAACAGAGATTCATTATTCCACAGTATGCATCACATAAGGGTTTGTAGTAATTCATTAAAACTAACATGCTCAGCCCTACTTGATGGTATCTATATGTGAAAAAGAATGCTAACAAGCTCTGGAGGATCTCATAGTCTAAATATAGATTCAAATTTTCAATCTGATCTTCTGCTTTTTCTGCTGAACTGAATCCAATTTCAAAAGCAGAACTCTCCAGTTCACGGGAGAGGGTGCTACCAGCCTGATCCTAATGCTCTGACTTGGTTTCACCTCTCATGAAGAGAAAATTCTTGCATAAATTATGGAGGTTTTAAAGGAAATATGTTTCTGATGTTGCTAAAGCAAGAATGCAATTGCATTATCCTGCTCTTCTTTCAAGCCCGAAGGTGTGCTGATGTACAGTCCAGGACAGAGCCTTATGAAACCCAGTGTGTGCTCCTTGGTCTCCTTGCAGGCCACATCAATGGAGACAAGGCAGCTTCTGCTGTCCCTTGTGTCCAGACAAAGATAAAGATATGGCTGAGCTGGTATGCAGTCAGATGAAAACTGGGCCAGGAGAATGACTGGCAAAGTTTACTACCACTACAGAATTGAGGGAAATGCAGAGGCTGAAGAAAAATTTTCATTCCCTGCATTGCCTTAGGAACAGCTGCGTGATATGTCCATTATTCTGCACAGACTTCCCAGTACCCGTGCAGTCTTTCTTAACTGCTGAGAAAGATCTTGCATGGAAGAAGGAGGGAATAGAAGAGTCCAGTTGAAATATATGATTGTGACAAAGGTTTAAAATAAATTAACTTGCTAATTATCTCATAATTGCATTTTTTTTTCTTCTTTGCAAGAAAAAAAAATATTCACAGCAAATTAGACTGGTCGTATTCTAAAATAAGAATGTTAGTGTAGCCTACCTTCCTAAACAAAACTAAAGCAAGTATTAATTATTTGCACTAAATTGTTTTTCTTTTTCCACATTGAATTCCTATGGAAATAACCAAATGAGATTCAAAGATACTTGCACAAAAAGCTAATTTTTTTTTGTATGATTTGCATAGGCATACCTTGCTGGTTTTCAGGACCTGATTTAGTTTTTATTCATTGCTGTTGCTTGACCAACAGTACGCAATTTCAGCTGCATGAAGTCAGCTGTAGTGTCACTAACCTAGTTCCTTTATGCAGCACTGTAATGTTACCTTCAGCTTGAAAAGAGTATGTGAGAAGGTATGTAACAGGTAGCGCTGACTGATGGGACAGCTCCAGCAGGATGTGTTGTTTTGTCCAAATCTAAATAGTACGTGTGAATTTCTTGACTTAGCTGAAATGTTTGATGGAAACAAGTTTATACAAACTGGTCCAACTCTCTTATATTTTGACAAAGTAAGTATTTGATATGGTAAACATTTCATTTTGACTTTCATTCATTCAGGCTTTTATATGATATTATGTTGGTATTTTGTGAATTCAATTATTTTTCAGATACTCTCTAGCTCATTTCCATATCTTTCAGCTGAAATACTTTGGTATTTCCATTTTGCAGTAAATCTAGATTTGGCATTCCTATTTAAAATGAAATATCAGGATTTTCCACAGATTAGCTGTCCCAGCCAACTGTAATAATATGTTTCAGACTTTTATTCAGCAGATATTTAAGCAAGCAACTAGCTTTAGGCATGAGTTGTCCATTCACTGTTTTTTTTTTTTCTTTAATTATGCTTTCACTTGTGTTTCATATTATGAATTGACTTAAAATATCTTACTGCCTTAGCACATTTTAATATCTTGGCATATTGTAATCACTATCTTTACTTTGTAATATTTCCCAAATTCAATCTGTGGTACAGGATCTGGAAGAAAAAAAAAAAAAAAAAGTTCTGAACTTTTTCTAAGGTTACCAGAGTTGTAATATTGAGGACTTCTTTTACAAGATACGAAGAATTTTAAAATAGAAGTCCTTGTAAAACTGTGTGTATTCAGTCATTTGTACAGTGGAACGTTAAACTCAAAGAAAAACCTCCAACCAGAGAAAAACTTCTTAATGGAATGTTAATTTTATTTCTTCATCTCCGAAAGAAAATACATACAAGGTCAATGCAGTTAAATCATATTCTAATTATACCATTAGCCCTGGTCTAGAAGGATGATTTTAATAAGATAGACTGTCATTTCTGTTTCTCAGTTTGTATAATCCAGTCTCTTTTGATCAAGAACTGTTAATTATGTTGAATTGGTGGTGATTCTGACTTATGGATCATAACCTAGTAAGAATTAGGCAGACAACATCAAACTCATTTTCACATTTATTTAATGAAATTACTGGAGTGTATTTGTCAGATTTCAGGACTTCATCTCTTTCAAACCTTGAGGAATTGACAAACTAGAAAGTTAAAAGATATCTACATAGATTCCAGTTTCTCCTTGTACATAACAGGAGGAAGGGGAGGGTGAAAGACAGAATCTAATACATGCAAATATGTTGCCAGTAAAATACACAAACAAAATTAAGCCTTACATTTGTTTGCAGATCATTTTCATCTGGGATACCTTAGTAAATCAAATCACAGCAGGGAGACAATTCCAGTGACTGATGAACTTCATTATGCCTCTGAGGAGTTACTATAGCAAAAAAACTCAACTAGCAATTTTAAAAGATCTGATGTACAATACAGCAGTGCCAGTTGAAGCATTATTTTTTTCAGTATGCAGCAATTCATAATACTTCTGTTCAGATCAAACACAAGCAGAATGCAAAACTTTTTTTTATAACGCAGCTGGACAGTGGAGTGTTACTCCTAGTGTATTAATGTTGCTATGCATGGATGCATATTCAAATGTAGCCAAACATCTATTGGTGTATTTTTGCATTTTCTTAAAGTCACAGAAAAGCTTGTATGTAAGGGCTGGACTGAAGAAATGTAGCTCTACCAATACAGAGGTCATGAAAGATTATGAAGTCTTACAAGCAGTGCAGATATCCACTTCATATTTTGTTATTGCTTCATTGTCTTCTGATGTTCAGCAGCTTGCTGTCTAATGTAACCACAAGTCAGGAAGATTTGTGGGTCAGGAAGGGATGTGTGTGTGAATTTTTCATAAAGCATTTTCATAATTATATTGTGAAGGTTTCCTTTAATGGAAGATCAAAGGGTCTTTCATCTAACAGAGTTAGGGCTCAGTTTGTTTAAAAAGAGAAATCTTCACTCAAGTTAAGGAGAAAATGGAAGGTTTTCATTGTAATATCAAGTGTCTAAAGATTTTATTTTTAACCGTCAAGAAAAATTGACAAGCCAGTGACAAGTCATATATATACAGTCTAATTGCATCTTCCCTGAAGCTTGGAGTGAAAATCAGATTTAGCATCTCTATTGCCTGATGGAAAAAAAAATCACCCTGTCAAAAAGATGCAGACTCAACCCGTGGCCCTAAATTCTAGGAGATACCCAAAATATTAACACCATAAAATTACATTTATTGCAAGCTAACATCTCTGGGGCTACTGCTCTCTTCTGATTTCCTTCCCCTCTTACCAATTTTCATGTTTCTTCTTGCTATGTTTACTTCTATTATTCTAACCTCTTCTTCATTTTTCTTTTTCTTCTCCCTTCACCTTGACTGATGCATGCTATCAGAGCATAAAGGAGACAAGTTTTCTGCTGCACTGCATCAATTTTGACACCTCTGCTAAATTTTGCTCAATAATTATCTGATACTTTAATATGCAAAGTACCTATACTCTATTAAACAACTGCCCTTTGAAAGATAGGTAAGTCTAGCACACACATTTAATTAATGAAAAGAGCCAGTAGGTAGTACTCAACAATGAACAGCATAATCTCTATCCACTGTAAATCACTTATAATTAGGAGCTGGTGCTGGTGAGAAATTCAAATGGTTGTAGTTATCACCACAGGGAAGCAGAGGCAAGCAGGGAAGCACTCCCCTTACTCTACAGTGCCATAAGATTTAAAAAGCAGGTTCATATGAAGACTGCAAGGGGCTTGGGTGTCACCCCAACCAATTTTTTCATCTTCTTACTAGCATGCCCATGATGACATGTTATAGATGGTGTTCATTCTGCTCCTGGGCTTTACCAAAGTCAGCAAAACATTATCTTGCTCTTGAAGTTACTATGCTCTGCTAGTCCAGAACTCCATAGAATTGTTGCATGTCATGATATAAATGAAAGAAAACCTTAAATAAAATTGGAGGGCTTAATCTTGAACAAGAATTCATGTGCAGGCCATTACATGTAAACTGAAGATAGAGAGGAATTCTGTCAGAAACATTTCAGATTCAGTTTCTTCATCTAGGAAATTAAGATGATAATATATACCCATCTCACAAGACAAGCTAAAACTTACTCATGTCTCTTAAACACTGTAAGATATCTTGTTGAAAGATAGCTATTTGCAGAAGTACAAAGTATTAATGGATTGGATTTTTATTAAACCTGCATTGTTCTATTTTGATCTTAAGACTACTATTGCATTTCCAAAGTGCCCAACACAGACATGCTGAAAAGTGACCTGGATTTAATATCTCTGTATTGTTCATTTCCTCCTCTTACTGCCTTGTCAGTAGCAATGAACTTTAATTAAAGCACACAAATATTTAAAAGTTCTTCTATACTCTATCCAATACGACTTAAGTACTCCAGTATGTTTTCAAATGTACTGAAACCATGTACCTGCTACGTTACAAAAAATGAAGACTTTGGTTTAGCTTCTCCAACCTTAACATTTCCTCCACTTCCTCTAAGACTGGTTTATTGATTTATGGCAAACATAATTTATGAAATTCATGAGACTGTTTCTTATCTTACTAATCTTACACTGATACAAGCAAGATCAGAGTCTACGTGTGCACATGAGTTGCTTTTAAGGCATTTCTACTTGCGTATGTGACCTCTGTTAGGCAGGTCTGGATGGATGGGAGGAGAAAGGGCTGTTGAATCACGCCCCTGTCATATAGGCAAGAGGATGTACCACACTGCACTGGAAATTGTAAAAGGTAGAAGGAGAACACTAATTTCTTCTTAGTGCTTTTTTTGCAGTAAATTCTTCCATGGTAGAAATAACCACGAACATCAGTTACTGAAGAGGATAGGATGTAATTCAAGATGTAAGGGCCACACACACACAGTCACACATACCTAGATATGTTCAAGTGTGCGAGATCATTTACCACCTACAATACTCCATATTTAAGCATACCTGAACAATTTCATTGTTACAAGTGATTTTTTTTGTGTGTGCCAACATGAAAAAAAACCAAAATTAAAGCTGTAAAAAATTTACACACAAGCTGAAAAATTTTGTGCTTACTTGACAGGGTTCTTGGCAGCATCCGGATCCTGAGCAGTTACTGTTCCTATTACACTGTTTATTGGAACATCTTCTTTTACTTCCATTATGTATGCTGGTCTGCTGAACACAGGGGGCTCATCTACATCCTCCACCTGAATTCTGACTGTAGCTGAGTCCTTGAATGGCCCCAGGTAGAGGAATCGAGGGTCCACATGAGTATTGGTAGCTTCTACTTTCAGAATATACAGGCTTTTATTTTCAAAATCTAATGCCTGGGAAGAGGAAAAAAAAGAAGTGTCAAAGGTCTGTGGGGATCCTGTAACTTGCAGCCATATGAGCCAAACAAATGGGGAGATATCATGGAGAGGCCTGTGCTAGATAACAGGCTGAACTGGAAGTAAAATGCCAGCAGGAAGTAGAAAGACAGGGCTCTATGCCACTGATGATACAGTATAGAAAAGAAACACCTTTTCAGGGGATTCTATGCCTGGAACTTCTAAACATCAATTAATCTTTCCTTCTCAAATAGTTTTCTTACTCTGTCATTTTTGACATTTTGATGTTTTCTTGTCTATTGCTTGCCCCTAAGCACCACACACTAAAGTGGGGGAAGATTTTCCAGGAGCTATTTGCTTAAATATTGCCATTCCATCACTGAAAGGAAACACTGTGATATCTAGTGTCTGGACATCGAGGACCACCCATCAAGGAAAACATGATTTTATGATAGGCTACGACTATATCACACTCTGTTAAAAGTGTGAAGACGAAGAATTTAGTGTCTCTTTGTTACAGTACTTAGAGAAATATGGGGAGAGAGTAGTCACCCCATTTTTCCATTATGTTATAGAAGATTCACAACTTATGTCAGCTACAGACATAAATGCAAACAGAGTTAGACTGATATCATAATCAGTCCCTGGAAGGCATCTCCTAAAAAACAAGTAATGACAGGTGTCGCACTGATATCAACAAACAAGTGCATGTTCGGAAAATCTACACAATGTCTATCTAGCGATGACTGAACTTGAACTGATGGAGGATGATATCTGTAACCTTATCAAGCTTGCCTGGTAACCCACTGTAAACAATATTTCTCAAACCTTTTCTGACAGCCAATGTGCAACCTAGTAGATGATGTCCATTGTGATCCAGAGTCTGTGATTTATTTTTTTTCTAAAACAAAAGCATGCTAATGCATTTACTAATTACATTTTTTTAAAATGTGAGTTAAAATAAATTTGTCTATGTACTTTAATACATTATAGCTATACAATTCAACACCACCCGACAGTGCAAAAATAGGCAATGTGATACTGATTATTTCTGTGGTCTTAACACAGCACTTTCTAGTAAGTGAGCAAATCTTGTAAGCATCATAGGGAGAAAATCACAGTTGATGGTGGTGCCTCCTTGAGTTTTCCTGTGGATATATTTCAGGCTGCAGAATTTTTTCTCAATCCTATTCCATTCCCTAGGTTATTTACTCTCTCAGGTTCTTCAAAGTTTTAGTAAAGGAGGGTTATAAGAGGAAGGACCCCAATTGCTTGTATAAAAGAAACTTTACAAAAGTAATGTAGAGATTCCTAATACATAGCATTCATATTAATAAACAACACATGTTGCACTAAAAATGGGAAACAAATATGTGCTAGATAAAGTTTTGACCAGCATTTCAGAGACTGGGATTAAGAGTGTTAAAATGTGTACCTTTTTGACAGTTATAATTCCTTCCTGTGTGTCCTTGTCTGTGGTAATTCCAAACATGTCATATCCATCCCCCTCAGTAATGCTGTATTCAATCTCTGCATTTTCATCCACATCGGCATCATTAGCTTTTATCCTGCCAACTGGTGAGTCGGGTGGTGTAGACTCAGGAGCTCTGAACTGGTAAGTGCCTAGAGCAGACAGAGAAGAAATTTTGTCAGCCAGTCTCATGGTACTTTGGACACAATCTCTAAGCCCACTGTCCGTGCTGGCCATGCACAGATAAAATTAGAGCATCACTGTGTCTTCAGGCCTTCCTGGGGCAACAGCCTTCAGCTTCTGCCTTACTTTCATGCGGCTAAAAGTAATTTATTCTTCTATTTTCTAGTATGAAGGATGGATATTTTGCTTTCCTACATATGTGTATCTTTAGCAACATATTTCCCTTTCTAGAAATTATCAGGGTCTCTGTTGGCCATATCAAAATTGTATATGAAAAATGTCTTGAGGCCAAAAGACAAATGTTAAGAACCACCAGAGGTCAATGCAGCTTAGTAACACTAAAACCAAATCCAGCCCAAATGCCTATTAATAATGTGCTATATTGAATTCTCCTTAGAAAAAAACTACTTGGGGAATGTTGGCATTATGAAGCTGTATCTTTGGCTTATATACTGAAGACACTTATGTCCAGAGATAATTAACTCATTGGAGGCAGAGTGCTATATTTTCTCTTAAGTTGCTCTAATTTAAATAGAAACACTTTGCCCACAGCTAAGAACAGACTTTGAACTTAAATGACAAGTTGCTTCCAATAACTTTCCCAGTGACTTAACTGCCAAAGCTTGCTGATCTGTCTGATAGTATCTGCAATTATTTTCTCTAACAGCTGCTCTTGACTTTGACACACACTGACATTGTGATACACACACATCACACACAGAACAGTGGTTAGACAAAGCAAAGAAGAGAGAGAGAGAAAGAACAAAGTAAAGAAGGAGAGAAGTAAGGAAAGAGAGGGAAAGAGAAGTGGATGAAAGATGAATCACTTTGAATAATTTATGGCCATGAATGGTCATTAATAGAAATTACTTTCCAAGAGATCTAGCTCAAGTCTTTCTCTTAAATATCACACAGATATCTACCAAATTATGTGAGACAGGGGAAGGAATATAGACAGAAATATCTGGTATATTTATGTATGTGCTTTTGTTTCTGTATGCAAAGAACATAGGGAAATCCATTGAGGCAAATGCTTCCTGGGTGTAAGTATTCCTTTTTATAGAATTGCTCTTGGGATCATTTTATGTACTAAAATAAATGTGTTTCAAAACTTAAATATGTTATATTAGAACAGATATCTTAAAATGCAGTCAACCACAAGGTCTAATAGAAATAATATTGGTCAAGAAATACAGATTATATCAAAGCTACTTAATAGGTAGGAAAAATAATATTTCTGTATATTAATTTACCTTTCAGACTATCTACTGCAACTGGAATAAAAATATTAGAGATATGTTTCCATTTATTGCATTTAACCTTAGCATGATCCTATTTCTTGCTTGCGTGGTCTCTTTTTCTTTCTTAAAGTCTGATACTCAGTAAGTTCACAACAGCTGAAACAATTATCTCAGGTGAAAAAAAACCCAAACCAATTTTTGTCCATTTTAATGTAAAGACATAGTACGTAAATTTTCCATACTCTGGGGGAAGCGAGGTGGATTGTCATTAACGTCAGTCAGCGTGATGTTCACGGTGGTGGTTCCTGATAATCCGCCCATCTGGCCTCCCATGTCCTTAGCCTGGATGACCACTTGGTATTGCTCCCTGTTTTCACGGTCCATGTTTAGCAAAGCAGTTTTAATAATGCCTGAAAACATGAAAATTAAGGAGGAGGAATTTACATGTAAGGTACTGACTTTGATGGAAATTCTTATTAAACCACCCCCCCCAGCCTAAAGAACAAAACAATCTTTGTGTAATAAATAAACTTTGCCCAGTACAAATATTTACTGTTATTAGATGGCACATTAAATTACAGACTTGTCATATCATATCTCAGGCTGCTGCCTATGTGACAGACACAATATTAGTGGCATACCCAGAAAGATGCTCTACTTATCTGTGAGCAGTGTTATTTTACATAACGGTTTATCCACTTTCAGTTCCATGCTAAAGTCTGTCACTGAACTGGAAAAAAGGCTCTTTGTCCATTACAACGTGCTCCATCTTTTCTCTCCTGTTCTGTCAGTATTTTTATTTTGAGAGACATGGCAAAAACCCCCAAAACTAACTTCAGCAAGACATCATTTAAAAGGCAGTACAACAACATTAAATGGGAAAAGATAAATTAATTAAGAAAATTATGAGCATTCAAGCATGCCTAAGTATATATATTTCTATTTATACATTGATTGAAATTATTTTGCCAGTTACTTCCTTCTTCAAAGGCACAAATATCAGTTATGAGGCCAACTCCTATTGAAATTCAATCATTCAAATTCACCATGAAGCAAAATGTTTGCATTCTCATTGGGTCTTTTAAGGCTAGGAACTGACTCCTTTGTAGGCAAAAGGGATGAAATTCTAGTACAGCAAAATTCACAGCAGCTTCAACAGAGACTTATTTCAGTCTAGGAGTTTTGCAATTGATTTCCATGGCAGGAAGATCAAGCCTGTGGTTTACCTTGCTTCCCCTCTGTGCCCCGTACAACCCTTTTGCTAAAAGATTATTACTGGTGAACTCCCAGCTACATTATCCTTATTATAACTATAGATAGAAGAGCACATAGTGTACTGTCCAAGTGAGAATGAGTGCATCAGTGCAAAAATCTTTGCTTGTATTATCTAATACCTTATACTTGAAGGGAAGCTCCCTTTGATCTTGGCTCTCCCTCTTTTTAGAATTACACACATTTTTTCACCTCACATTTTTCTTTGAGATGTCTAATCTCTCTCTCCTTTTCCCTGCCCAATCTCTAAGATTTATTTAAGGAACAATGCTAAAACCTGACTAATTGTCTGGGATAATCCATTTCTTTCCTGTAAGAATGCTGAGGAGTCAATTTCTCTATCTTCCAGCAAACTATCACAGTGGATGTTCCCATATAAGGCATTTCTTGAGATCCTCTGTTTCTTGTTGGAGAATTTTGTTATAAATCTTGGGAAGAGACTATCTTTGTAGTTGGATAGTCAATGGTAAAGCAGATTCAGTCACGCAAAATTCTCTGTTTTACATGTACAGAGCTGTCTGTTACTCAGACCATAAAAAATTCCAGTCACAGCTTATAATTTAAACATCTTCCAAAAACAGAACTCCGAAGTTTGGGATTCTATTTGCGATCTTCTAGTGTAGCTCAACAGCCAATTTTACTTCTTCTATCATTATTCTTAATTAAGATTTCTTTTATAAAATTAACATTAAAATGATACGTTGCAGATGTACAGAAATTATAATTACTTTAAACAAGTTTTGAAGAAGCAGGAGAAAAAAAAAAAACAAAACACATCTGAACAAACCCTCAGTCTTAATTTAGCCATTATGAAGATCTATGAGGAATTTTTACACACCCACCTGTTTCTCATTTTTTGTCTAAAAGCCGACCTATTTGGTTTAATTTAAACATCCATGGCAGTCTCTGTACCCACTGCTTGTTAAAAATGATTGAAAATTGGTTCACATCCAGTACTAATTGTATTTATTAGACTTTGCTGGTAAGATTAAAATAATATAGGTGTCATGTTTACAGATGTATCGCTCTATTAAGTTTGTCAGATTTCACACTGAGTAAGATGCAACCTCTTTGAAGTTTTTGTCTAGTATGTCCTAGCTTGGCTTAACATGTCATTTTGAATTACAGACATTGTCACAGAATGACAGATAAGGTCTCCTGACCTGTCTCAGATTCGACAGAGAAATATGGTTGTCCCTGGAGAATGCTGTAGACAACTTTAGCACTGTTCCCATACGTAGGATCATCGGCATCAGTTGCAGTGACTTGCACAACAAAGGTACCTGTAATGATGAATTAAAGAAAATAAAAAGCCACAATTTTTTTTTTCATGGCAAGACAGTTTATGGTGTAGAAAAGGCATAGTTAATGTTCAGGTCAAACTTGTGACAAAAAGTTAGAGATGCTCTTATTTCAAAGGAGTGTCTCTGTTCACAAAGGACATAGATACAAAACCAAAACGATAGTTGGCTTATTCTCAGTTCATTAAAATACATAGCTATTGATTGGATATGTAGTTCCTTCATCATATTTCTTAGGAGAAACCAGAAACTCACCCTTCCCCAGATACTGAAGGCATTTAAATTTGAACCTAGGTCAAGAATATACTTTTGTAAATTTACTCATGCTTGTAATCTGTTTGGCATAGGAATACAAATCTGTTGTTTCATGTGTCTTCTAGAGAAAGAAATGGTGTTGAATCCTAGACAAAGAGTTAACAAAAATTAAAAATGAGCTTAAGTTTTGTCATTTAAAACAGATCTGCAAATAAAGTATTCACTTCACATATTAAAATGTGAATATTAGGGTCTCCCTTCACCAGATGAGGTTTCAAACATATGACAAGTCCCTTGAATGGGAAGAGAGAGTATGCCCCAAAGTCTTTATTTTCATATTGCTTGAGCTTTATTTTAATCTTGTTCTTAATTATGATTAATTAATGCTTCTCTCCCTGGATATCATTTCATATTAGAAATGTGCTTCTTGCAGTTCAACCATCCATTGCTCTCTGACAAAGAAATCAAAATGTCCTCCCTACGAATCAGAGACAAATAATCAAAACCTGTCAACTTCTCTGGAGAAGATCCAATCTTAAATCATTTTTCAAGGAACTTATTTTGTTTTCTTTTATTGATTGATTCTTACAGCTTGATAAATTTTGAAATAAACAGGAAGATTTCAATGGACTTTAGAGCTCTTTTGCATGATAAAGCAACAAAGGTCATATGAAGTCAATGGCATATCTTTGAGTCAGTAATGAGTTAACAGTTTTTGCTCCTGAAGTGTGTACTACCACTTCTGCACCTGCCCTTTTCCTTTTTTTTTTAAAAAATCTTTCTGAACTCAAGAAGGGTTGCTGAACAGATCTAGGGGTGGTACGGACACACTTAGGTGATCATAGATTGCTGTATTATGACGCTGCTAAATCATGTTAACAAAACTAAATAATGTTAACAAAACATATTAAATTCTTTATAGGTGTCATGTAGCATAGTTTAGCTCAGCTCACTTTCACTGTGAGCTAAACTAGATATTAAATTTCATTTTTTGTGGTACAACTGAGGGGAATGGGTTTCAGTCAGCTGACACCTCTGATTCCAGCAAACCACTGTCACTGTTTTCCTGGAATTAGATGTTTTTGTTGAATGGCTGAGGTGCTTTTACTCCAAACTCAAAGAGTTTGTATTCAGTAGCCATAAACTTTGGGCCCTTCATTAGCTCCACAGGAAGAACCCAGACCAGACACTGAAATCAATTATTAGTTAGCACCTACCAACATCTGACATTTCGGGAATGCTGGCATTGTAAATGTCCTTTGTAAACATTGGTTCATTGTCATTGATATCATGGATCTTAATGATGAACTCAGATTCTGGTTCCACCGGTCTTCCAGTCTTTCTGTTTATAGCCTGGGCACGGAGTATGTATACAGGCTTTTCTTCTCTGTCTAGTCTCTTTGTGGCCTGGATGTCACCAGTGTTTTCATTGATAATGAAGAGGTCTCCTGCTCCATCTCCAGAAAGGATATACTTAAGTGATCCATCTCCTTTATCCTGGTCTGAATGCAGCTGGTGGTGAAATGGGATTAAAAAAAAAAAAAAAAAAGAAAGGAAAATAGGTAACTGGGACACAATTCTAGATATTTTAATTGCTAACATGATACAGGCTTTACTATTATTAATGCCCAGCCAAAAGGCTGTACACTGCTTTTGGGAAATGAGATGAGCCCAAATTAGTGGCAGTGAATTGATAGAGTTGTGTCTTGATGTTGGAACTGAAATGGTCTGTAATATTGTAAGAAATTGCCTGAGTAAAACCATGAACTAAAGCCACAGATCACTTTCCCAAGTTAAGCATACATCAATCAGGTCTAAATGTTAGTGCCTTAGGTGGAATCCTAGGAATATGTAGGACAATGAGATCCTACAGTGGAAAACATTGGATTCAGGAATTGCAGTAAGCAAAGAATTAAAAACTAGCCTGGCAAGCCACTTAGTGAGTTTAAATTCTAGGTGCTTTGCTCTTATACCCCATGGACATTATGAAATATATCACACAGTGCACAACATAATAACATACTAAATACATGAATAGAAGATAAATACATGCATTCACAGATGTGTCAAACAGAGCAGAGGCAGGCATGAATACTAGCCCATTACAGCACTGGCAATGAAGAGATCAGTTGCCTTATCCAAAGGGACATGGTCCAAGCTGAAACATGGTGGGGGCAGAGGAAATACAAGAATGATGGCAATCTGCATACAAAGCATAGGCTATAGGCTGTCCAAGCCATCATTATTTTTTCCTAGGAGATTTCCATGTCTTTTGAAATGCTGCTTAGCACGCACACACAAGGTATGACCAATTAAATTATTATCCTCATGGCTGTTCCTTTGATAAAGGCTTATTTATTCCCCACAGCCTTAAAATCAAAGCTAATCAACTACAATTTATTTTATTGTCACATCAGAAAAAATAAAAATTTTAAAAATGAAGCATTAAAATGTCTTCTAAAGTCAGGACATAGGTGAAGAAAAAAAAATATTCAGTAGCAGATTCCTGGAAATTGTTCATTTCATAGAAGAGACATGTTTATGAGTCAGGAGAGATGGACTTTCTCAACCAGCTCTTTACTTCTCATTTTCTGCACACAAGTTAGAAAAAACCCACCAACCTAGTTGACTATGTGTACTGTATAAGTACTTGGCACTGCTAGATGGTATGCTTTGTAGAAGAGAAAGATTTGAAGATTGAAAGAATATTGAAAATCTTTACATGGACCTTACCAATACCTGGCTATGTCCCTACCGTGCTGGAAGGGCAACCTCCAGCATGAACACATGGTCAAAGTTTGGAGGTTCCTCCAACTTTCTGTCTAGATCAGTGCTATGCTGGCAACCTACTGACAACCAACTTAGTGTCCCAGTGCCCCACAGTGTGCACTTATGCCTATGGTCCCTACAGAAACCATGTTTCATGCACTAAGTCTGCAAAACTCTTTGTCACCACACATACCAAAAGTGTCCAATAATATAAAATATCAGCAATGTAGCATGGTTAATCATTAGCAGACATGCTGAGGCACTCTTCTTAATTCTCTCCTTCAGGGAGAAAATGGGCATTCCATGTAATTTTGCAGAGAGCCCTTTCTCTTGACAATAAGAATACCAATAAGTAGCTTGTATGCAGCATTTTTCATAAGCAGATTTCAAAAGCCTTCACAAAAGCAGTCAATATAATTTGCTTTCTTTTTTTTGATAACAAAGCATAGAACCTTGAAGTTTCTCAAAAAGCTGGTCCTGGAACCTGGAATAGAGTTCAGGCCTCCTGAGTCCCATTCAATTGGCCAATAAACTCAGCCATAAGGCTTAGAGGAATTATATGATTTACTAGATATAATCTCAGCCTCTGATGAATATCTATTAGACCTGCTTGTTAAGAAGTCAGACTAGAAGTCTACTGCAGGAAGTAATTTCAAAAGTATATTTGAGTATATTTTTCCTCAAAGGCAACCTGCAACAGAAAAGACATGAAAATAATTTTGGTTTTAAAAATGTATTTTTTTGTGATTGTTACACATCAAAAATTCAACTTTTGTTTGCCTTGAAAACCTCTTTAACTCTGTCTGTACCACACTGGAACAAAACCAGCCCTCTGTAACAGACTATCATTAATTCATCTGAATCATGAAATAGTGCTGTTGTAAGACTTGTTACAGGCTGAACTCCCAAACTAATTTTTATCATCTTTTTAATTAAACCTGGTTTGCATGAACAAGATAGCTAAAGAGGTCAAACTAGAAAAGGTGTTGGAACCCCTAGGAATTGTCTTCCATAATACTCTTTACCAAGCCCAGACCACCTAAAGAGCTAAAAATGAAAACTTGTGTGATTTTTTTAAAGTCCATAGTTTATGAAATTTCCACTCCTCCTCTACAATTAATCCACCTGTGTAAGAATGACTGTGGCTTTGGATATCAAGACAAAGTGTATCTCAGTGTAATGACTCATCAATATTGAGAATGAGGTGATCTTCATCAAAGGTTCAATCTCTAGACCTTTAGCAAAAGCACTAACTTTTGAAAATAAATGTTCCCAAGGCTTATAACACAATATCAGGATCAGCTGCTTAATAGCTGGACCAAAACAGTTTGGATTTTTTCCCTTCTTCTCAGGAAAAAAAAAAAAAAAAAAGCTTAAGGAAACCCAAACAGATCTGTACAAAAGTGTCTCTCATAGATGACAAATTTGTAACATTCACCTGTGAGGAAAACATCTGAGAAAATGATTTATTAATTTACATTACTTTATCTGTCCTTGACTGTTTAAATGCTTGGTAGAAAAGTTTTATCCAGGCAAAGACAATAATCTGTTTTACTTTTTCTTAAGTGTCAAGTTTATCTTGAAAGCAATCTTTTGTCTGTGTGATCTATATGAAGGGGGAAATTACTACTGTAACCAAGTTTAAAAAAAAAATTGGGAAAAAAATTAAAGGGGAAATAAATGGTGCAAGTTGAGGTCAAAAGAAGGGCCTGGAGGCAAGATCCACCTAAAAATATAGTTCATGGTTTTGTATATAAAATTTTACACCATTATTATATTATGAGGATGAAATGAGTAGTAATAACAACCCCTTCCTTTCCTTTTAAGTTGAAGTTATTTTTCACTACCCAGACACCTCATTGCAAAGGAAGTTTGCTGTGAAGAGATATGTGTATAAACTATACTGCAGATGCTTTTAGCAGGACCAGTCTTAGCTAATGCAAGATACTATAGCTTCACTCTGTGTGCTAACCTGTGTTGCAAAAGAGTGTCCATTATCATCTGCATAAAGTTGGTCATGGGACAGATAAAAGGACCATGGCAAATAGTCAGGGGATAGAATAAACCAGCTTGTGACATAGCGCTCCTGTCAGCTCAGCCGTATCGTAGTATCATTCCTCAATACAAAGGTACTTCAGCCACAGGTTTTTTGGGATCCACTTAAAGATAGATTTTTTTTTATTTCCTTCGGAACTCAGTATTACTCAACAGCATTCCTTTCAACTGGTGAATGAACTCAGAAATACCTCGAAGGTAAGTAAAACGGTGAAGAAGTAAGTCCATGCAATAAAAAGTAAATGCATCAGCAATTGCACTGTATTAATATTATAGTACATTGATTCATTCAGAATCTAATCTGGACGCTTTGTGAAATCATCCATCAATCACTGGCTAAGGCTGAGGATGAATGACAAATTTTACTATGCCCTAGGCATACTTTTGCTCATTTTACTTTAACACCACTGTTAAGTGAACCATCTGGTTCACTTTTAATGACTTACAGTCAGATAAAAGCTGTCCAGCCCCAAATGTCCTGGCCCAAAACATTCAAATACAGCTGCCTGAAAACAGGGAAAGCTTCATGCCTCCAGGAAGAGGCATTTAAAGTGCATACATTAGCTGCCTGTATTTGACATTCTGCTTGTTGTCACATACATAATTTCTTTAAAAGGAGGTTTCTTTTTTTTTTTTAAAAAAAGTAGCCACAATCTGGAGTAACCTCCTCTGCAGTGTTGTTGGCAGAGCCTCTGAAAGTACCAAAGGTGGTGGCTACAGGGTACCTTCAGCACGATGAAAAGGAAAAGGCAAGTGAAAAGCTGTGCTCAAAGTATTTGTACCATGCGCTTTTTTCCTTTTTCTCCCAAGTGAATATATTTACAGCATTTGTGTTCATTTCCAGTAGACAGTATCACTTCACTTTAAAGCAACACTCCAGGAAATTTTTACCAGGGTTTTAAAAATTGAGTTGGACCGATGCTATACAGATAAGAATTGCTTCAGCGAAGTGTGTGGGAAGAATTTAAAGGTGTCTTCCATGTGCTTCTGGAGTAAGACTCTAGAGTGAAATGACATGAAAACAGTGGATTCAATTGGCATGAAATTGTACAATTCATTATTGACCATCCCTGATGAAGTCATGAGCTATACTCGAAAATGTTGGCAGCACTTACAAAAGAAGCAGTGTCAGTGTGTTCAAACAGAGGTGATGGATGGCAGCTCCCCATGTGGGCGATGGCAGGACCCAGCAGCCAGGTCCCATCCCGCCGCCCCAGCCAGGAGCAGGGCAGCTGGGGGGCACCAGGACAGCCCCAGCCCTGGGCATCGGGCACCTCCCTGGGGGGGCAGGTTTGGCAAGGATGGACCAGGACATGGGTCTGCAGGGGGGCCTGGCTCAGCGGGTCCATGGCTGGGCAGGGCAGGGCCGTGGGGAGCTGGAGCCCAGCCCTGCTGCGACATCGCTGGGGCAGGGGCTGACGGCCCCGGAGGCTGACATGGGGTCCCGGGCTGTGGGCAGGTGCGGGGGAGCCACGAGCACTGAGCAGGGACAGTCAGGGCTGGTGGTGCCTTCAGGGCCCTTTTCTAACAATGATAAATTCATGATATGAAACTGTATGAAACAGCAGTATCAAAACTGTACAATGAAAGTGAGATCCCATATATTTTAAAAGGTTTGGGCTAAGCGCTAACTTTTTTTTTTTTGGTGTTTAAATGGAATACATTAGAGAGAAGTGGCTTTCTAGCAC